GTGTGCGTGCGTGCCCAAGATCCCGAGAGGAGAATGGAGGAGAAGGGATTGCAGCGTGACCATCCTCCCTGGGGGGTGATTTCTCGCTTTCTGTCTCTAATGTCTCTCTCTGTCTGTCTGGCGAGCGCACGCGCCCTATAGTGAAAATCTCTCCAAAAAAAAAAGTGATTTGTGTACTTTGCAGTGGGTAACTTTATATGTCAATAAAAAGATGCATTTTGAAAATAAGGAAACATTTCTGTATGTACACTGTACTTGCATAAAAAGTAACACAGGGAGTAGCAGATGGCATATTGGTTACGTGACTGAACTCCCACAAAATCGACCGCAGTTCAAGTCCCAGACCTACCAGCTTAAACTCATGCTGGGCGCATGTGCATGCATGCCCAAAAATCCCTAGAGGAGAATGGAGAAGGGATTACAGTGTGGCCATCTCCCCTGGAGGGTGATTTCTCACTTTGTTTCTCTGTCTCTCTCTGTCTCTCCAGCAAGCACATGCGCCCTTTAGCAAAAATTTCTCAAAAAGAAATGTTGGGACCAGCAGATGGCATAATGGTTACATTGCTGGACTCCCACATAGTCAACTGCAGTTTGAGTCCTGGACCCGGCAGCTTAAACTTACGCTGGGCATGTGTGCACGCGTACCCAAAAATCCTGAGAGGAGAATTAAGGAGAAGGGATTGCAGTGTGTATGGGGGAGTGATCACCCCTGGGAGGGGGGTTGATTTCTTGCTTTCTGTCTCTCTGGCGAGTGCACGTGTCCTACAGCAAAAAGCTCTCTCTAGGGACCAGCAGTTAGCGTAATGGCTATGTCGCTGGACTCCCATGTAGTCGATCGCGGTTTGAGTCCCAGACCCGGTGGCTTAAACTCATGCTGGGAGTGTGTGCATGTGTGCCCAAGATCCCGAAAGGAGAATGGAGGAGAAGGGATTGCAGCATGGCCATCCCCCCTGGGGGGTGATTTCTCATTTCTTTCTCTCTGTCTTTCTGGCAAGCTCACGTGCCCTATAGCAAAAACCTCTCCAAAAAAAAAAAAAAGCTAACACACAAGAAGATAATTGGTTTCAAATCAGGATAAATAGAAAAAGAATAAAAAGATGGGCAGAAATAAGGCATTCACAATCATGTAATTTGAGTTAATAATTTGTGTAATATTTGGGATTCTTCCAACAGCATATGTGCGTTCCTTCATCATGTATGTATTAAGCATGTCTTTAGACTAGGCACTGTTCTAAGTAGAGGTCATGCTTCAGATTTTCTTAATGCCTCTTACTACAGTAAATCTTTCTGTGCTGTGAACTGATGTTACTGAGGTTAACATAGCCCTTGGCACACTATTGAATAAAGCTTCCAAAAATGTAAAAGAATAAAACATAGCAAAATATGACTTCCATAGAAATCTGGCTTTCTGGGAGGAAGATAGCTTCCTGAGATGTATCTAAGGAATGATATATAACCTATAAATGATGCTTTCTTGCAATTCTCTTTCTCCCCTCTACTTTTAAAGCTAGTTAGGT